AAAATGGTTTGTTATTCTAATGCTTTTTAATTTCAATTATTTTTATAAAATATCTTTTCGAGAGAACCAAACCAGAAGTCATGTGATGAAATTTCACAGAACAATGTTCGTCAAAAAATTGTGCGCGTGACAATTTGTCACGCCAATCACTTTTGCCAAAAAAATTCTTGATCATATTTTCAATATTTGTCTAATAGTAAAGATGATATCGCTCTTCTAGATGCCTATCATTCTGAAAAAATTTTTGATAAATATATTATTCGGGTGGCAGGAAAGGGTTTCACTATAGTTGATTACCTGTCTGAAATTTATGGGATTCCCAATACTCACGAGTGTATTGATGGGAATTTGTCTCTTCACCTCGTTCTGGACATCGACACGAGACAATACCCCGATCCCACAAATCCTGAACTCCCTTCCTTAGATAAATATAAAATTTCTCGCAAAGATTTATTATCCAGAATCTTAATTACCTGTGCTGATATTCTATACTTTGATTTAAAACATTTTGTAACTTTAAATACTTTTACCTTAGCCGGTTCGTCTAATACTAACAAATGCAGTTGGCATATTGTATATAATTATGCACGTTTTATTGACTATAGAGATCTTAGGGGTTTTGTGGAAAAAGTTGCTGATAGGGTTGGGAAGCCATACTTGGAATTTATTGATATAGGACTTTATAAGTCTCACTTCAGTCTTCGGCTCCTTGGATCAGCTAAAGAAGATAGAGTTAAAAGACCTGCAATTTCTTCGGTCAAGAAAGGATATTGCAAGCTAGAAGATTATTTAGTTCAACCTAAGTTAGATGTTTCTGAAATCTGGCCTGAACTTTTTCTTCTGAAAAATCAGAAAAAGAGGAGTTCCAACCCATCGAAGATAAAACTGCCTTAAACAAGGGAGCTAGCTTAGTTATTACAAAGTATGAATGGCTTGAGATCGGAAAAGCTGAAAAAGGGTTTATTACCTTTCATACCAAATTATTTACGGAATGCCCTATTTGCAATATCAAGCATAAAAGGAATCAGTTGTATGGCTTTCTCCAAAAAGATGGACGTTTTATACTCAAATACTATCGGCAAAAACAATACAAACCCGATCATAAGGGATTAGCATTTGGAAAAGTGACAGAAATTTCTGCAAAACATAAGCGAGGAATCTTGGTCCTGAAGAAGCTGAAAATCTTAAGTTTGACCAAGAACGCTCTATCCCAGATACTATAGCTCTTAAACGTTTCTATATGCGAAATATTTATGGCTATAAAGATATAAGTACCGAAGATTGGGATAATCTTTGCAATAAGAAATTTGTAGAACATTTTAGTCCACCTGAACCTCGGAAACATTTTCTGTGCTTATCTCATTTTCGGAAGCAAGGTTGTGATAAAGATAGTGCAATAGAAGGTATGGTTGCTAAAGACTTTGCACAGTGGGAGGATACCTGTTATAAAGCTGAAGAGAATTTAGAAAAATCAGTAGCGGAG